TGATACAAATTAAAACTCATATATGCAGATTAAAAATGTATTTATTTTTTATATATTTTGTCTAAAGGTTCAACAAACACTCCGTTATCAAAAAATTTAAGATTTCTGACAGTTATTTCATGGTTCGGATTTTAAAGGGTTAAGCAGGAACTAAGCTGGAGAGGAAATGGCGTCTCACTGATTTAGGAGATCATCATTGTCAGGATGTCCTAAAAACTCCCCGAAAAGCCTTAAGTTAACCCAAAATGCTGCAGCAAGAGTGCTGATGGGGACTAGAAAGACAGAGCAGATCTCTTCTTTGTTAAATTCAGAATAAAATCCCGCTCCTCACACAGGAGGTGGTTCAGGCCTCTCTTCTGTGGAAACAGCTTCCAGTTTGGATTCTGGAGACAGACACCCTATATACTTTTAAGATTAGGCTTAAAACTTTCATTTTTGATAAAGCATTTTTAAATTAGGGCTGGATCAGGTGACCCTGAATCCTCCCTTAGTTATGCTGCAATAGGTATAGGCTGCCGGGGGATTCACTGACTGTTTCTTATTCAGTCACCCTTTTCACTCACTATGTATTTATACAATTCTCTGCATTTAATTATTACTTATAATTCATCTCTGGCTCTCTCTCTACCCCTCTAAGAATCTAGTTCTGCTGGAAAATTGAGGCCCCAAATAGGTTTTCTGACAACAGATTCTAATCTTTAACTGAGAGATGTTTTTCATGTTCTTTTCATATTTGTCTGGAAAATGTATTCAAAAGAATATATAAATGTTTCTTTTGTAGATGCTTTGATGCTTTGTAATATAATAGTGTTTTTCCCCACTTTGGATGGAGCTCTCAGCTCTCATTTCTAGAAATCTCAACAAATTTATTAAACCCTGCAAAACATGACTATCCAGAGTTGGGACCAGGAAGCAGAGCTGCAGTTTCACATCTCTCTCTGTAGCTTCTCTCTTCCTGTTGTCCCCCCAAAACCCCATCCCCTTAGAGACAGTGTCAGCTCCCAAACAACAAAAATCAAACTACAAATCAGCAAAAAAAGGAATTTAATATAAAAAAATCACAAAGAAAGAATGCTATAGTATGCACAACTGCTCCAAACAGTAAAATGGTGAATTGTACATCATTAAACATTAGGTCTCTCATGAGCTCTCATTAGGTCCCTCTTAGTACATTAATTAGTAATTCATCAACAAATTGATTTACTGTCCCTTTCTGAAACCTGGTTATAGCAGGATGATTATCTTTGTTTAAATGAATCAGCACCCTCGAGTTATATTAATAGTCAAAATTCTGGAAACACAGGCCTTGGAGGGGGTCGGAAACAATCTTCCACTCCAGCTTATTAATCAACCAAGGACGCAGTTTTACTTTATTTGAAAGCATGACAGTTAGCTCTGTCCATCTTAGCTGGAAAACTCAAAAAACAGTTTTATTTGTTGTTATTTATCGTCCTCCTTGGCCTTAAACAAAGTTTCTGTCTGATTCGTCAGACTTTTTATCTGATTTAGTGCTCAGCTCAGATAAAAATAATTACTGTGGGGGGTTTTTCACCATCCATGTAGATACTAAAATGACAGCATCAGCACGGCATTTCATCTGTTATTGGACTCAATTAGCTGCTTTCAAAATGTAAAACCCACCCACCCACCTCTTTAATCACACTCTGACTCTGGTTATAACATATGGCATAGAAACTGAACATTTAACAGTACTTCCTGAAAACCCTCTTTTGTCTGATCATTTCTGATGATATTAAAACTTACAGTGATGAATTATACAGTGGGAAATAGACTTCATGACTGTAAATGCCTTGCTGAAAATGCTGTAACTATGTTCATGTTCTTGCCTTTTTAATTTGTCATTTATTAAAATTATAAATATATATTTTAACTCAAAAGTACAGTTTTTAAATGTAATGTTGCTGAAACAACAAAATAATAATAAAAAAATAAACACATATTTACAGAACATGTGGTTTATTTTAGCATTTTACCTCTATGGTGGGTGTCTTTTTGTTCTCCAACTCTTTTGTCTACCCCTTATTTTTTGCTGATTATACATCTCTTTTGTCCAGATGTTACAGGAACAGCACAATTCATCTAAATTCAATTCACTTACAGTTATATATCACAAAATCACAACAACAGTCGCCTCGAGGTGCAATGCTACATGTGTTGCTGAGGGAATGACAAGACTGAGAGAATTTTACCTGATGTATGAATTCTGAAAGAGCTGTCAGCTTATTACTGATTGTCATAATATTACTGATAACCTGACAATTTAAAGCAGGTCATAATGACCTTCAGACCATCAGATAATGCTTCAGTGCTTTCCATAGTCAGTCTTCCACTTTACTAGTAATGTTCAACAATACTGTTGAGAATACAAGTATCAGGTGAGACGCATAGCCTCTAACAGCATTTTGGCTGAAATAAACCAGCTGAAAATATCAAAAACTCAGCTACTAATGATAGAGTTTTCAATAGAGTGTGAGAATTAGCATTACCTAATAATAATCAGAACAACATAATACGCTTTTCTATCAATATTATTTAATGGTAATCAGCACAAGAAGAACATTTAATGTTCTCTTCTGTATTTTCTTATTCTCACCATCAACCATCACACTAATCATTCTGTGCATAGCTTCCTGTCAATCTGTTATCATATATTGATCTGCAGAGAAATGTTTGCAGAGATGCTTGAAGACACGTGCATTCTTGCAATGTATACCCCATGAAAACGCTAATATGATCTGGATTCAAGTTAGCAAGTCAGGTTAGACTTAGAGCTGTATGCCACTGGTCAGTCCCTATATCAAACTAAAGGTGATAACAAAGAAAAAATGTATACATATTATTTATCAAGGTGGTTTACCATAATCAGCAGATGTATGCATTATAAAAAATAGTTTCTGGCCAGAAAACAGTAAAACAGTTGCACTGAGGAGCTTCATTTGCATAGCGGTTTCGTAATGACGGTAAAATAAGTGTGTATGTGTCCTTTCACATCACAAAAATGGAGAAAAACCTTTGGGTGATATACTACAGCTTCGCAAGTCAGACAGAGCAAATGGTGATAGTAATCTATACTTCCTAGTAACTGCAAACAGGATGACAGATGCAAGAACATTTCCACGTGTGCTACTAAGAAAACTGAGAAACGAGGTGACAGTCAATTGACTTGTGGACTGAGAAAATATATAAGGTGAATGAAAACTTTTCATGCAAATAAGTAAACAATAAATACAATTTTGTGTCTCCTATTAGAGAAAGAAAGTACTTTTGGAACTTGGCCTGTTGTCTTAAAGCAACCTAAAGCGAGAAGTAAACACGTGTGTAACTTTTTTCTTTTCAATACTTAAATTTAAGTAAATAAACAGTATTGAACACAGACATTGAATATTTTTAAAGAAGTAGGTCAAGAAAAACAGGGTGTTCAAGAACTGAGTGCATCAACTTTTGTGTGTTAAAACAACATAAAACATATATGAGCTCAGACTGAATTTTAACAAAGGGTGTGCTGTTTGCATCATGTTAATGAGAACAGCACATGCTAGCATAACAGCCCCAACAAAAGCTCCATCTTAATACAGTGTAGTTTTATTGTTCTATCACATTTTTAATTCTAATTTATACTGGCTGCTAATAAAGTGCTGTAAAATAAGCATCAGCTGCCACCATAATAATTCTGAATGTACTGTATGATTTCCCGTTAATCCCTTATCATATATGTTGGTGGATCTGTGTACCACAAGTTCATAGCATATCTCTTACCATCAGAGTGTTTGCAGAAATGCTTTCTTGAAGTCATATGCATTGGTGCACATGTGCAGATTTTTTATCTTCAGACAGCATAATTAAATGAAAAATATGTTGCCTTGCCTGACCTTGCCTGATATCATCAGCACTCCTGCCATTTTACATCATTACTTGTTTTATTTTCCCTGTCATGTTGCTTTATCACCAGAAAACGATCTCTTCTATTTTTATTTTTATTTTTTTTCACTTATTTTTTCACTTATTTAAATGATTAAGAAACTATTATTTCTTTCCAAAATAACTACACTGGAGCACAAGGCTGATGTTTTTCTACTCGACCAGATTCAGTTTTTGACACAATCATTATGCTTATATCTAAACTCAACAGTGCCTTTAAAAGCTGCTAGCTGTTTTTTCCACCTGTAATGTGTAATCGTTTATCATGACAGAAAGCAAGGACTTGTTTTAAATTTGCAGGTTAGGTTGTTTCTAATGCCAGTAGTCTGTATAATCACCAGTCATTTATATTTTATACTGTATCCAAGACTTCTGTAAGGTGATCACTCCTCATCATTTATATGCTTTTTACCACATTGTCATAAACATTAATTTAGTTTTGTCTTGCATCAGCTGTGGGGTATTGAAATTGCAGACTTACATGCCATGGGAAGGCTGGCTTTCTCCCTGTGTACAGGACCTTGAAATAAAATCCAACATACAAACACTTGATTCAACATACAAACTTTTCACATAGCAGCTCAGTATTTCTTTTTCCTGGTAAGGCCATCATTATTGTAACAATATTTTTGTTCTATGGCTCCAGAATTCCTCCTATAAACTCCCTTCAGTATTAATGTTGGTAGTGATGGTTATTGTGCTGTTTTCTGACAGAACATTTTAAAGCAAATAAAATAACTGTCTGTGCCACAATAATAACAGTCCAAGAAACGAATGATCAATATAGTATTTTCTTTAAGTTTCATTTTATTTTTCAGTGAAACATATTTTAGTTTTATCAGTCCTTCAGGAAAGTGCTAAAAGAAATCTTTAAAGCAATGCATACAATTCAACTGAAATAGAATAAAATAAAGCTCTGGAGAGTCTGATAAAGTTATGAATGTGGTTCACAGCCACATCATTTGAATATGCAAATAACGCAACTTCTCTCGCTGTTACGAGGAGGTATTTAAAGGCTGAACCTGCCAGTGAAGTTACCCACTGCTCTTCAGTAGCTCAGCCTGACTTTGATCTCATCATGTTTACTCACTTTAACCTGGCAGTACTGATAGTTGTACTGACTCTTCATGATAAAGGTAAGTCTCTTTTCATAGTGCATATGTGATGTCTTGCATGGTGACATTATAAATGATGTCAAAACTGAGACCGTGCAAGGTTAAGATTTTGATTTAATAGAATATGACACAACCCCCCATCCTGCTCCCACTCACGCAGTTCACACTGGAGAAATCATCGGTGGCCATGAGGCCGTGGCACACAGCAGGCCATACATGGTGCTTTTGGAGATGCACAGACCAGGTGGTCAGAAAGCCCACTGTGATGGCTTCCTTGTGAATGAGCATTTTGTGGTGACTGCTGCCCACTGCCAAGCTGAGTAAGTTTAACAGTTTATGTTTACCTAAAGGGAATTATGTGAACCGATAAATTGTCTTATCCAAACACCAAGCTTAAGTTACTCTCTGAGACTGAGATCTTTGTTTCATGGTGGCTTCATAAGTTTGGTCATAAATTAGTTTTGAAAAACTTTTCTTTTGTTGTATATTGTATCACTTAAATCAGCGGTCCCCAACCTTTTTTGATCCACGGACCGGTTTATGTCCGACAATATTTTCACGGACCGGCCTTTAAGGTGTTGCTGATAAATACAACAAAATAAAACCAGAACCGGAACCAGTACCAAAAAAAAAAAAAAATATATATATATATATATATATATATATATATATATATATATATATTCATAACACATTTGAAAAGACCCAGGGAAACCAAGTTAATGATAAAAACAAAAAAACAATTCACACCCAAGCCTCAACTCTCCTGGCCCGGTACTAAACGACTGGCCTGGGGGTTGGGGACAGCTAACTTAAATGTCTGAAAATTGTTTGCACTTATTTTATTTCAGGTCCTACAGAGTCTTTCTGGGACTTCATAATTACAACAAGCAGAATGACGTACAGCATGTGAATGTGCCTGGGGAAAATGCATTTCCACAGAAAGGCTATGATCAAGCTGAATTCAAAAATGACATAATGCTTCTGAAGGTAAAATAAACGAAAATAATATTTAATAACAGACTTTACAGTGTTATCATCCTAAATGTGGTTTCTTATCATTTTTGTTCAATTGAACAAAACAGCATTAAATAACATTTTTATCTCTCTTTGTTCCTGAAGTTGAGTACCAAGGCAGTGTTAAACAAGAATGTGAAACCTATTGATCTCGCAGACCGTGATGATAGATCGCTGCCAAAATCATGCATAGTCTCTGGTTGGGGAAGTACAGAAAACAACAAACACCCATCTCTCAAACTTTTGGAAGTCAATGTAACCCTGGTTGAAAATGAGATGTGTGTTAAGGAAAATAAGTACTGCTCAAAGGACAAGGGTGGCCCAGGTCATGTAAGTGTTTTTTATTAAACCTTTACTATAAATAAATTAATTTATTAATTAACAAGTTTGGTAAATAATGATAATCAGCTTACTGTTGTGATTACACTTAGTTATGGTCCAGTAACTACATAATGTATTGTATGCTTGTATTTCCAGGGAGACTCTGGTGGCCCATTAGTCTGTGAAGATGGAAAGGCATACGGGGTGGTGTCCGCCAGCAAGCTAAACCCAGATAAATCAGCAATTTATAGTTACACTAAGATACCTGACAACCGAGACTGGATTGACTGCATTATGAAACATAATTAAGATAAAATAAACCATGTAAAATTTAGCTGATCAAACCCCAGTATTAGAATTTGTGCTTGGGTTTAGCTTGAAAAAGAAGTGATGCGATACTGCGTTAAAATTAGATAAGTGAGTTGTTTTGGTAGATATGCATCAAAAAAACTTAAAAAAAAAAAAAACTTAAAAAAAAACAACAACACAAAACAAACATACATTAAGTTGCACATTAGTTACAGTTAAGTAGAATCTGAACTTTTACTATATACTCAATGCTGTTTATTAAATGAGATGCTGATGTTAGATACTGCATTACCTGATTTGTTTTGTTTTTAAAAAGGCCTGTACTTTAAAGATTCTTGTTTCTTTTAGATTCAGGATGATTTGTTTGACAGATATTATTAAAATTTTGCATTTTCACTGTTTTTATGTTATTCCAACTGACTTCTTTTCATCATCCATCAGCCAGTCTTATATCATTATGTCATATTAATGGCATAAAACTACAGGAAATACATTAGAATTATGAATTAATTAGAATTTAGAAATTCTGATTTCATTATCGATATTACTTATTGTTTTGGTTCCCATATCGATTCTCATTGACTGTGAATGGATTGTCTGTCTCTACAACAGTGGTCTTCTTAAAAGTGGACATCTGTATAAAAAGCTTTAGACATGTTTTCTTTTAGTGAACCTGAAGTACGAGTACTTTATAATATGCCTGGTTTATCTAATCATTAGTCAATTAAATGGCTAATTTCACTTACACTGACTGAGTCTCCTAACAAGACATTAGTCTATGTTTATTAAGCTTCTGCAGAAAGAACAGTCAGCACACAAAGAAGCAAATGCATCAGCCACTGAATCTGCCTGTCTTTGTCACAATTGTGCTGTACACAGACATATACACTGCATGTATTAACATGCTGGCTACACCGCGGATCACACAAACCTGTCAGGCACAGCTTGGGTTTCCAGTGCGTTCAGCATAGGTACTACAAAATGCTTAAGATAAGATAAGATAAGATAAGATAACCTTTATTAGTCCCACACGTGGGAAATTTGTTTTGTCACAGCAGGAAGTGAACAGTGCAAAAGTTATATAGCAAAATTAGAATACAATAAGAATAACATACTGTACACAACTGTACAGAATAGAATAAAATAAAATACTATATACAGTAGAATAAATAGAATAAAATATACAACAGGATAAAAATAGAATGCAAATGCTATATACAACTGAGTAAAAATACAACTTTGTCAGAAAAAGAGTATTGCACTTAGTGTTATTGCACATGTGTGGATGTGTGTGTTAGATCAGTTGGAGTCTTTGTTGTGGAGTCTGACAGCAGTGGGGAGGAAAGACCTGCGAAATCTCTCCGTCCCACACGGTGGGTGCCGCAGCCTGCCACTGAAGGAGCTGCTTAGTGCTCTCACAGTCTCCTGCATGGGGTAAAAATAAAATGGTAAATGGCCTGTATTTATATAGCGCTTGACTAGTCCCTAAGGACCCCAAAGTGCTTTACACATCCAGTCATCCACCCATTCACACACACATTCACACACTGGTGATGGCAAGCTACATTGTAGCCACAGCCACCCTGGGGCGCACTGACGCCCCAGGGTGGGGGCGCACTGGGGTGGGAGATGTTGTCCATCAGGGATGACAGCTTAGCCACCATTCTCCTGTCACTCACCACCTCCACTGGGTTGTTGTTGGTTGTTCAGATGAACACCAAGGTACCTGTAGCTGTCCACAGCCTCAATGTCCATACCTTGGATGTTCAGTGGTTGCAGTGGAGGATTTTTGTGCCTGCGGAAGTCTACCACCAGCTCGTTGGTTTTACTGGCGTTGATCTGGAGGTAGTTCAGCTGGCACCAGTCCACAAAGTCTTGGGTCAGTCCTCTGTACTCCTTGTCGTCCCCATCAGTGATGAGGCCGACTATTGCAGAGTCATCAGAGAACTTCTGCAGGAAGCACTGGGTGGAGTAGTGGGAGAAGTCTGCAGTGTAGATGGTGAAGAGGAACGGAGCCAGAACCGTTCCCTGCGGGGCCCCCGTACTGCAGATGACCCTGTCCGACACACAGCCCTGAGTCCTCATATACTGTGGTCGGTCTGTGAGGTAGTCCAAAATCCAGGTAGTGAGGTGATGGTCCACTCCAGAGTTCTCCAGCTTGTCTTTCAGGACCGAGGGAAGAATAGTGTTGAAGGCACTGGAAAAATCAAAGAACATGATTCTCACAGTGCTTCCAGGGGTCTCCAGGTGAGCAAGGGAACGATGTAGGAGGTGAATGACGGCATCATCCCTGATGGCAGCTTCCCATCCAAGTTGGGTATTGGGTAGGATTGGATGTGTTCAGGTCACCAACTCCCTTTTCTATGACTCCCTCTATGGTCAGTCTATCTTGCTGTAGCCAACATACACAGCATAGTAGCAAAGCACAGCTTAGCATATCAAGTGAATTTGAAATCATATTGCGTTTCATCTATCTATGCCACACTAAATGAATGTTGGGGTTAGAAAATAATAAAAGTTAACTTCAGTGGACAACTCACAACTATCCCTTTTACGATTCATTATTATCTGTTACATATAGTGTTGCACTATATGTGGCTGAAGCTTGGAAGGTATAGCAGCTCATCTACTAATTGGAAGGTTGGTGGTTTGAACCCTGCCTGCTCCATTCAGTATGCAAAATATCCTTAGGACAAGATATTAATACCAATTTGCTTGTAGATGCATTCATTGGAGTATGAAAGTGTATGAGTATGAAAAGTAGAAAAGTGCTAAATAAGAAATTAGAACATCTCCCAGAACAGCCAGAGCTATCATAAACACTCTAAAGTGTCCACAAGAGGTCTCTCTCCACCATAAGAAGGTATCTATCTGTGCATATTGTACAGTACATGGGTACCTATAACAACATTGACTACATGGCTATCAACTATTGTGAAGATCATATTACCTTAGTAATATTAGTGTTTGTTAGATGTAATAGGGCTGCACTCTGGACAGGTCCCAGTCTGGCTCAGGATATTTGTGGTCTGAGATGTTCCCAGAGAGGCGGAGGTCCCGTAAGCATGCTGTGTTACTGTGTTACTAAACCGTGATTTTGTTTGTGAGAGTGTCTCATGACAATGATGTGCGTGCAATGTCCGTGGCTGCAACAGACGTATGTAGATCAACAACGGATAATATGGAGTGTGTGACAGAGTACAACCATGTAGTGTTAAAAGCATGGAACTACTGACGTTCCTTCAATTTTTACTCCGTAAAAAGTGACAAAAACATTAGTGTCCCTACTGTGGGAAGAAAAAGTAAACTTCAAATCTGAGCAAGCACCTAGCAAGCCGCCACAGGAATGTGAAAGTCACAGAGAAACCCGTGGATCCCCCCACTGACATGACCACTGCAGCACCGGGGAACTCCCCAAATGCTCTGCTCCTGCTGAACAGGTGAAAAATAGATTTAAGAGCGACAGGACTTAGTACTGCTGCTTAGAGCTTTAGTTTTTGCTGTGTTTTACGTTTATCTATTTGAAACAGTGAGTGTAAGCATGTAAGCATGTAAACTTCTGAACCATAGCTATACTGTAGATGTTTATGTAATCCAGCATTAGATTCAGGTGCTGCACTCTCCCAATGACATTTGTAACAACACCCTAACAATTTGAATTATAAATCTAATATATAAAAGTTGCAACTGTTGAATGCTTTTGGTGCATGATTAAAAAAAACCTCAAAACTGAGAGATATCTCACAGCAATTTTACAACATCAGACAGGGGACACAGTTTATAACAGTAATCTAAACTTCATCTTATAAACAGGATGCCAGACGGAAGAACATTTCCGCACATGTCGCCAAGACAGACACACAAGACTGATGCTCAAACTGTATTTAAGTTGATAGCTAATGCGTCAAAAAACTATATAAGCTTAGGTATAAATCACAGTATATTGCGCTAACAGCCCACAATAGCATCTGGTGTCATTTCCAAAGGTTTAAGTCATGTCATTTGTTATAATAACATGTTTTCCATTATATTTTGAGCTATGTTAACATGTGGGCTTGCACTAGAGAATGTGACTCTATCCCAAACTGGGCAGCTCTACGTATTTCTTTGGTACACTCAAACCAGGGACAGTGGCAGTGACAGAGTTTTTTCCTGCATTATGGATTCTGAAATGGGCTGCCAATTCATTCCCGATCGCTACGTTTTCACTGAGATGTTGACTGCTCACAGCAGATAAAAATAAGACTCAGCCCATCAAGAAATGTCCAGGTGCTCTTGATGAACAGTCTGCCACTGGTTTACTCATGTTATCTGAGAATCCTGTTAAAAATATAAGCACTAACATATGTGAGGTGAACAATGTAACCTTTAATAGGAATTTCAAATAAGGAATTTTAATCTTTCAACATGAAGCTGAAAGAATCTAAGTCATCTTGATGCAGAGAACTTTTAATGTTCTCTAGTACTTTTGACCTTTCTTGCTGAAAGGACTGTAGTGAAATGAGTGTCAGCTGCCAGTTCTTGTTAATCTGTTATCATATATATGGATCTGTGTACTAAATGTCTCATTAACTACATATCTTTTTTCCTGCAGTGTTCCTGCAGTGTTTGCTGATATGGTTTTTGAAGCCATGTGCACCACTTATTGCAGCCTACACCGATTGCATGTCATCAGGTTTGCCTTCAAAATACCGAACAGTAAACAATAAATAAATTAAGGAACGACTTCAGTCTATATAAAACTGAATTAATTAAATTAAATATGAGCACCGTATAAGAACATCAAAACTGCATGCAAGCAAGAGTCAGCCACAAATCTCATTCTAATGAACAAAACATTTTAATTTCCTATTAGATATGTTGGTAGATCCTACAGCTTTATGCCATTTTTCTATAATGTTTTTGGAAGTCTGGAAGTCTTGTATGCCACTGGTTGAATACAGCAGAGATGTAAAGAAGAAAAGAAGCCACAAAACAAATATGGATAACTATATACTTATAAAGCTGATTTAGCATAGTCAGCATTTGGGTACATTATTAAAAAAAACAACAAACAAACAGATTCTGACCAGAAATCTGCAAAAGTAAAATGAGTTGATGTACTTTGGCTAGTGAATGTAGGTTTCTACATTTGGCCTTGTGGCATGTGGTCACCTGCTCAACCGCTGAGATAAACCAAAACCCATGCAATACTGGTTTTGAGCAGAAAATCATATGTCTAGTGAGGTCTTTGTGGCTGTAAAGCAAGCCATAAACATTGAGCAATGTTGAGTAGAGAAGTCAGCGGAAAAAGTGATAGTAATCTATGCTTCCTGATAACTGCAAAAAAAATAAAAGATTACAGAAGAACATTTCAATATGTGTAAGTAAGACAGAGAAATACGCAAGACTGAGAAAAAAAGCGAACTTCAACTGACTCATTAACAGGAAAAAACAAACAAACCCCAAAACTGTGGGAACTTGGATTTAAAAATTGCATCTCTTTTTCTGTCTATGAACAGTGTTTTCTTCTGATTTCTTGAAGTATTCCACAATATGATTTCCACAACAGAATTATGCCTGATCTTAATGCTTTGCCACCTGAGATCATAGTCGGTCACTACTGATTTTCAGCTTTGTCCTTTTCACACAGCTTTTCATGTAATCATTGATATTTTTGGAAATTGGGGGTTGTATAGAATAGAATTCAGAATTCAACTTTATTGTCATTGCACATGCACAGGTACAGGGCAACGAAATGCAGTTTGCATCCATCCAGAAGTGCTTTAGTGATATAGATATCAGCAACGCACAGCAATTCTGGACGTATAGATGCCGTTATATAGTACACACCCATTTAAATTTTTAGCAATTAGTTAACAAAATGTTTAAAAATAACCCATCTGATTTTCCCTTGTCTTAATGATAGAGCTGTAATTTTGGTAAGTCTGTTAATGCAGCGAATCTGCATTTTTACCTTTTTCCATTTTTCTAAACTTTAGGAATAGAACAGAGATATTACCATTACATTAATAATGACAAAAGCACTCAATATGCAAACTTTTAACACTACTGTGCAGTTCCTTTTACACTCACTGCTGTGATGCTTTCATTTTGTATTGCTTGTTTAATCTATTCATATCTTTTTCCATAGCACAATTTAATCTTCCTTGAAAAGTCAAGTAAACTTCTGTGAGTTGCTGCCAATGCCACTCTTTTCATGCAGAGGAAACCTAGGGTTAACTTTGTGTAACTACCTATGCTGATTGCCAGTATTACGAAAAGTGATCATGGAAAGATACTCTGGGTATGTTGAAAACACACAGGCCTCTAGTGGACTTGTTTGTTGTTCACCTGCCCATTGATAGTTTTTTAGCCATTCCTCCAGTGAAATGGATTGTTCTAGGAAGTGCTGGTCACTAATACTGTTTTCAATTAAACTGAATTCAATTGAATTCAATTCAGTCTTATTTATATAGTGTCAATTACAGCAAAAATCATAATTACAAAAACAGATGCCTCAAGGTGCTTTATATTGTAAGGTAAGACTGTACAACAACCAGCTATAATACCAGATAAAAATATGACCTATCAGGCTCTGGAGGTGAGAGATCTTGTGTGAATATGGTTTATGAATACAGCCACATCATTCACATATGCAAATGACACAAACTCCTCCTTCTCTTTCTGTGATAAGAAAGCATTTAAAGATTGAATCTGTCAGTGTAGTGTCCCACTGCTCTTTATTAGCTCACCCTGACTTTGATCTTACCATGTTTACCCACTGTAACCTGGTAGTACTTATATTCGTGTTGATTCTTCAAGATCAGGGTAAGTATGTTTACTTAGTGCATACTTATATCCAAAGTCAGAACTGAAACACTGCATGATAAAGATTTTGATATACAGAATCTGATAACTTTTTTCTTTCTAGTTTATACAGGAGAAATCATTGGTGGCCGTGAAGTTGTGCCACATAGCAAACCATATATGGTGCTTTTGGAGCTGCACAACTTAGGTGGTCATAACAAACACTGTGATGGCTTCCTCGTTAATGAGGACTTTGTGCTGACTGCTGGCCACTGCCATGCAAAGTAAGTTTAACATAGTTTATGTTCACCTAGAAAGAATTAAGTGTCCAGTATATTTTGTTATCGCAGTAAGCTGGGTTTATGTTACTCATAAACTCCGGGACTGGGATAAAAGCTTTCATGGCGGTTTCATGAATGTACTCATAACATTTTTTGATTTTTTTTATTTGGTTAGCATCAGACCAGCACTCTTCTCTTTTACACTGTCAAAAAGTGATTGCACTTATTTCATTTTAGGTCCTACAAAGTCTTTTTGGGACTTCATGATTACCACAACCATAATGGAGTACAGCATGTGTCGGTGCCTGAGACCAATGCATTTCCACACAAAGACTATAATCCAGTTTCTTACAGCAACGATATAATGCTTCTTAAGGTAAAAGAAACAACAGTATTTTGGGGGGTTTGTTGTCAAATTTTTATTATTTCTTCCAAGTCAAATTTAATTTCTTATTATTGTTTGTTATTACCTTTAGATAATGTTCAACTAAAACAAACAGCATTAAAAGGAAGGGTCAGAAATATGTAATATTGTAATATTTTAACAAATATTTTTGTCTCTCCTTGCTCCTGAAGTTGAGCACCAAGGCAGTGTTCAACGAGAATGTGAAACCTATTGATCTTGCAGACCGTGATGATGGATTTGCGCCAAAATCGTGTGTAGTTCCTGGTTGGGGAAACACGGGAAACGGTAAAGACTCTGATGTGCTCCTGGAAGTCAATGTAACCCTGACTGAGAATGAGATTTGTGCTAAGGAAAATAAGTACTGCTCTGAGGGTGCCACTGGACCATCCACGGTAAGTAGCTTTTATACCTTAAAAAAGTTTGGTCAGTAATGATAATGATAGTGTTCACTTGCTGCAATAACTACATACTATTCTTGTATTTCCAGGGAGACTCTGGTGGCCCATTAGTCTGTGAAGATGGAAAGGCATACGGGGTGGTGTCCGCCAGTAGTAACTCAATGCTAGATGGCCTTAAGCTCTACAGTTACATTAAGATATCTGACAAACGAGACTGGATTGATTCTGTCATAGATCATCATCGAAAGTGGTAATTCATGTATTGAATCTGCCTTTAAAAAAAGTTATATGACAACTGAGATTTGAATATTTGAACTCATTCTATTAAAATGATGGGTGGCAAGGTGGTGCAATGGTCACACTGCTGCCTTTTTTCTTCCAGCTACAAACCTTTTCTTTGCAAACCTGTAGTTTCATTTTAGTCATAGTTTAAAATCTTAAATTTAAATGTAGAATGAATACCATTTTTTTAATTTTAATGTTAGATACTGCATTTACTACTCTTAAAATCAACAGATTTTAAGATTTCGAATTAGTTTAAGAGAGAAACCAAGATGATATGTTGGATTGTAACAGCAATAAACTGTTGTGCTACTCACTGTGTTTATATTTCATTATACAAACATATGGGTATGTATAAAATATGTGTTTGTTTTTGTGTGCATGCGTTTATAATGTATGTATGACAGTTGTAAACTGCACATGCTTCCCAGAGAACATCCCAGGTCAGAGGTTGACAACATACATTCATTGTTTAGCAGTAGTTCATTGTTTAGCTGTACTTGTTGGCTTAAAATTTGTTCAGCAAAGGACCCAAACAGTTTTTTTGAGCAAATTTTATTAGCTCCATAAATGGAGATAATTTAGATTTTTTTAGAGGACCCTATATTAATACAGTACTAACAGAATACTCAAGTACATATTTTCCCTTTTGCTTGTTTGTGTGTTTTTTAAATAAATTTGCAAGAATTTCAAACAAACTTTTTTCGCTTTGTCATTAAGGGATATTCTGTGTAGATGTCTGAGGTAAAAAATGAATTTAATTTATTTTGGAATAAGGCTGTAACATGAGAAAATTTGGAACACATAAAGCACTGTGAATACTTTCTGCATGCACTATAGTTGGCGCTGTCACCTTGCATGAAGATCCTGGGTTCTAAACCTCCACTGACTGGCTCATAGTGTCTCATCATGTCTTCTTTTGAGGTTATCCGGCTTCCTCTCACAGTCCCAAAACATGCATGTTAGGTTAAATGGTGACTATAAGTTGGCTGTAGGTTTGAAAGTGGTGTTGGAGCTCCAGCCCAAACTCAAAAACCTTTGCTTGCATGTTAACTAGAAAAGTTAAATTGCTCCCAGTAAACACTCAACTACAGAGGATCGTGTTCTTAGAAACATGGAGTTCTTTATCTATCCTTGTCTATGTAGCTCTTAGGCAGTTTCGTCATCTAACTCATTTTCCTTGTCTACATATAGAAATAAATGAAATCATGTGAAGAGGAAACATTATGCTAGCTTTGTATTGGTATAACGGATGAAGTCAGACATTGTACTGAGGGGTCATTTATAGTTCAATTCAATTCAATTTCAATTCAATTCAATTTTATTTATATAGCGCCAAATCACAACATAAGTCGCCTCAAGGCGCTTCATAGATACAGAGAAAAACCCAACAATCATATGACCCCCTATGAGCAAGCACTTTGGCAACAGTGGGAAGAAAAAACTCCCTTTTAACAGGAAGAAACCTCCGGCAGAACCAGGCTCAGGGAGGGGCGGCCATCTGCTGCGACCGGTTGGGGTGAGAGAAAGTTGGATCTTTATGTCAGAAGTGCAGTGCAGCATATGGGTGTATATGTTTGTTAATGTTCAAGAGAATAGTTCACATTCACAGTGTATGTGTGGCTATTTACTATAACACAAAAACACCACAAAGACAGAGAAAACCTCTGTGTTATACACTGCAGTTTCACAAGTCAGATAGAGGAAATGGTGATAGTAATCTATACTTCCTGATTGCTGCAAACTGGATGACAGATGCATAAATCTTTCCAAATATACAAGATCGAACTGAACTTCAATTCTTAGTTTAAAAGACCAAAAGTGGAGAAAGCATGGATTTAAAAATGGCGAGAACAATGGGCTTCAACAAATTTCCAATCATTTTCTTTTTCACATTACTGCACAAGGCTAGACACGCAGAACTATGTACAAAGATATTTTTTCAGAATATTGAAATCCGAGGTTCTTTTAAATTTTCCAAAGATTAGGCACTAGTTTTAAGAAAACTCTTTATACCTACAGATGTTCACAGGCTGCGTGGGTGTGTTTCTGACTGTTCTTTTGACTGATCTGCCCCATGAATGGGACTTCTTTTGCATTTAGCTTCATCATTGAAAAGGGCATTTCTCTTCTTTACTCTTCTTCTCCTCTTCTTTTTTTCTCACTTTCTCTCAAGTCTCTCAACTCTCAAGTAGAATCAGATAGACAATGTATGTCTCATTGAGTGAAAAATAAAAAGCTCAACTGATAAAGATGCATTAGCATGTTTGCAGCTGGCATAATAGAAGGCCATCTTTATAACATGGAATTTTAATGTCATCTCTTTTTTGTTTTCTTATTTTCCCCGAGTTACTTTTAGTAGAACTGCTAGTAAGTGTCAACCACAACTGTTGTCATTATGAATGTACGTGACTTCTTGTTAATCTCTTATCATTTAAAATGGTCTATGCATTAAAGGTTCACAGCATATCTCTTGTTATGTCTTGAGATCACAATATTGTTACAAAGATGATTTTTTTGAAGCCATGTGCACTGTTTCATGCAAAAATGTATCAGATCTGAATTCAAGTTAACAAGCCTTCTGTTTTTTTAATACAGATTTTAAAGAGTGACTGTAATCTATTTAGAACTAAGTATAAGGAATGAAAACTGAAGGTTAGAACATTATGATTAAGGTAAATATATTCTCATGCATGATAGTTTTGCACTCCTTGTGTTTTTCTTTTACATTGCTGTATCACCAGGAGAGATTAATTCTAAGTTATACTTACCACAGCTGTTTTTTTTTTCTTTTTATTAGACAGTGTCAGTTGTCCGCGTATTCATACGTGAATTATATTTCATACTACATCCAATCTCCCTGTAAGAAGACTTCTTCTCTTTATTTGTACTTTTTTGCTTTACTATATTTTGTATTAATGTTTTTCTCACATGCATCAATCACCAGGTGTGGAAACTGCAAACTTACTTGTGTAAGTCTGGGCTTGTGTCAAACATTTTCATGTAATTCACTCCTTTTCTTTTCCAGTTGACTGTAGACTATGTAGATTTTCTTTTACTACATGGTTATTGTGGCCATTATTGTTAACCTCATAAACTGCTTGAAATCTGCTTTAAATCCATAAAATCTCTTCATCATTAATGTGGTTCATAAAGGCTATAGTTATCTTATCTAAACTAACACAATTACCTTGTATACGCTAACTTTTTAGCTAACAACTACTTTCCTTCTCACAATAATAATACAGTCTAAGATGAGAAAAACATGTGCATTTGTCTTCTTAATCAGATGTAATGTTTTTAAAAAGCTAATATTTGTGGATGTGAATGTGGTTCAAAGCCACAACATTTGCAAATGTACACACACACACACACACACACACACACACACACACACACACACACACACACACACACACACACACACACACACACACGCCTCCTTCTCTCTCTGTTCCAAGACAGCGTTTCAAGATTGAAGATGTGAAGTGTTGTATCATTCTCTTCAGTAGTTCACCCTGACTTTCAGCTCGCAGTGTTTTCCCTCTGTAATCTGGCACTAACGATATATGTATTGACTCTTCAAGGCAAAGGTAAGGTTATTTTCATGACGTTCCGGCCTGGGGGAAATACAGGAAACGGTAAAGACTGACTGTAACCTGACTGACAATGAGCTTTGTACTAAGCTAAATAAGTACTGCTCCGAGGGTGCAACTGGACCAGCTTATGTAAGTAGTTTTTGTATCTTAACTACAGAAAAAAAGTTAGGTTAATAATAATAACAAGCTCATTGTTCAATTGTTACAATAACTACATACTGTTCATGTATTTCCAGAGATACTCTGGTGAAACATTAGTCTATGAAGGTGGAAAGGCTTATGGGGTGGTGTCCACCGGCAAGCAAAACTCAGATTTCCTGCCCTTAAAATCAACAAAAGAAGTAATGTCCTACTTTGTGCTGTGCAGCTTTGATTAATCGAGAGTGAGAATCCAGAATATCTTGTTTTTTAGCAGCGTATTATCAAGCAAGAAACATTATCTCTTTCACTGTTATCTTTCAAGATGACTTCTTTTCACCATGAAAATGCAAATGAGTAAACAGCTCATTTTAAGTAAAAATTGATTTTTGTATCTTAGATTTACAATATGATACATACTACAGTACAACAGACATTGATGTATGAACAAAAATGAGTGAAGATAGCTAAAACTACAAAGCTAAAGCTGAAATGAACAATAATAGTATAAATCAGCGGTTCCCAACCCCCGGGCCTCGGACCGGTACCGGTCCGTGAGTCATTTGGTACCGGGCCGCGAGAGTTGAGGCTCAGGTGTGAAATGTACAGTTTTCAGGGTTTTTATCGGTTTTCAGCGTTATTTTGTTATCGTTTTTATCGTTTACTCGGTTTTCCTTGGTCTTTTCACGTGTGTTATGAATAAATTTTCTTTTTTTTGGTACCGGTACTAGTTTTATTTTGTTGTATTTATCCGCGACACCTTAAAGGCCAGTTCCATGGTGCAAAAAAGGTTGGGGACCGCTGGTATAAATGAAATATGACAGAATAATACAGGTCAACCAAATTGACCTGCCGCATCCCCTGATTTTTGGAACAAATTGGCTGGAGTTTAATACCCTTCAGGGCCGTATGTGGGGATGCGATCACAGCTGTTAGTAGCATGTAGTATTTGTTATTGACTAATAGGCTTTATTGAGTGGGTCATGACACTCGCAAAGAGGAAGAACACACCCAGTTGTTGGTGCCTAAAAAGGAAATGATATTCCAGGCGGCTCATTATAACCCCATGGCAGGACATATGGGATATGATAAAACTCTGGAGTGAATAGAGGCCCGATTTTATTGGCCGAGCATCTGAGCGGATGCGCACTGATGGTGAACGTCCTGCCCAGAATGTCAGCTGGTTAACCAGCCCGTCATTCCAGAAGTGCCTTAATGGAGGTCCTGTTTGAGTGCATTGGTATTGTCATCATCGGGCTGTTTCACCGGAGTGCACGTGGCTACTGCTTTGTATTAGTTCTGGTGGATTATGCAATGCAATACCTGGAACCAGTGCCGCTGTGCACCATTTCTACAAACAGTGTGGTGTAGGTGGTGTTTCAGGTAATCTTCCAAGTCGGCATCCCAAAAGAGATACCTACTGACCAGGCCACATCGTTCATATCTCGCACACTAAAAGAGCGGTGCAAATTATTGGGCGTTAAATTGGTTCTACAGGCTGCCTGAACAAAAGCAGCAAATTGTTCAGAAAGACCTGGCTGAAATGCTGAAAATGGGAGTAATAGAAGTGCATGGTGTAGCCCCATAGTTCTGGTTGTGAAAAAAGATGGGGCTACACGGTTCTGTGCTGACTACTGCAGGGTGAACGAAGTGTTATGGTTTGATGCCTACCCCATGCCCAGGGTTGACGAGTTCCTGATAGGCACAGCTATTTTTTCACGACACTGGATTTAACCAAGGGCTACTGGCAGATTCCCTTGTCTGCAGAGTCCAAGAAAATATGTCCCAGCAACAATGGTTGAGGAGAGTGATGGTGCATCTAGGCTTCTCCACTCTGTACGGTTTGTACCAGTTCGTCAGATTTACGTTGGGCTTGTTCGGAGCCCCAGCCACTTTCCAGTGCTTCATGGACCAGGTGCTGCGGCCGCATATGCAGTGCCTACCTGGA